TTTGGTGGATATAAAAAAAGAAAAAAAATAATGGTTAAAGTATTATTGGCTCATTGGCTTATTATAGTGGAATTGGTCATCCTTATTTTACATTTTAATATTTGGAATTAACTTACATAGAATTAGCTATTAAATTGTAAGAATTAATTGTTAAAATTATTAAAAACACTTAATTTTTTTTTCCAATAAAAATGAAAAAGACAAATGTTAAAAGAGTAGATGACACATGGCATCCTCTCATGACTTGAGTTTAGAAAAACTTTAAAATATTATATAAGATTCAGTTTTATTTTAAAAATGATTTCTTTGATGTAGTTATTCATAAGAATTTAATTTATAAACGTTTTTGTAGTCCTCTTCAGGTTATAAAGCAAAACAATATTAAATAAGGTTTTATTGAAATTAAAGGACAATAACACATGTCAAAAACGTTGGGACCCGTGGTAGCCTCTCAACCTTTACTTTGAAGAAATTTTAAAATATTATATATAAAAAACTTGTAAACTCTAAATTTCTCCAATCAAACTTGTTAGATTTACGAGCCATAAAAATTCTAAAATCACTCTTTAATTTTCTCACATCATTTTTTTTGGTTCATGTGTTCTTTTGTGATTTATTTATTTAAAATCAAAGTTACCTAAAGAAAAAGAAAAAATAAATAAAATACTTGTTTTCTATACATAAATTTATATAAAAATTATATTATAATTTAGTAATTTACATAAGAATTATATAAATATACACAAAACACTTAGTTGTAACTTGTTAGAATTAATTTACAATTAATTGTTAAAGTTATTAAAGACACTTAATTTTTCTTTTCTTTTTAATAAATAAATTAAAAAAATATAAAAAATTAAATGATACATGACAACCTCTCATCGCTTGAATTTTGGGAAACCTTACTATATTATATAAGATGAGTTAAGCGATTGGTTTGGGTCTAATGACTTTATTTTGTATAAGTTTTTAAGTTATAAGCTAGAGTAGCAAGTGGTTACAGTAAAAAATAAGGGGCAATTACAAAAATGTCATTTTTGTGTGCACATTTGTAAAAATGTCATTTAGGAGTGTCTATTTACAAAAATGTTACTAATTATAGATTTATAAAACATATATCTTAAAATTTTAAACCCTAAAAAATGTTTTGACTCCTAAAACCTCCTAAACACTCAAAACTAAATCCT